AAAATATTTATTTTTTTTGACTTTTCTTATTAAGTTGCATGCAAATTAAATATTATATAGAGTAAAATATTTCTTAAATAAATATATTACACTATTTTTTAGATACATTTTGTTTGTAAAAGATGTAACACTTCTATTTTATATTGTTCAAAAAAATACATATCTTTTAAAGTTTTCTCTAAAATGTTAACGAAATAAATTGTATCTACAATTTTTTAATATTGTTATATTAATAAATAATTCAAAAAAATCTAATTAATTTAATATATTTATACGTCAAGTAAAAAATTTTGAACAAATATAATATATTTTTTAAAGATAATATTTTTTTTGATAAAAAAGGAACAATTCTTATTTTTTTTCTTTCAAAAAACACATATTTAAAAAAAAATATTAGCGAGATAAGTCGTCTTCGACTAGTTTTATTAATATTGGTATATTAATTAATAATTTAGAATTTTTTATTCATTTAATATATTTATTAAATAACATGTAAAATATATAAATATTAAAATTAAAAGTACATTGTTTAATAAGAACTAGTAGATGTTATAATAAAATAATTTTGAAAGTACAATGCAGTAATAAAAAAGTCACATCACTATAGTACATGTGAACAGCCTATGTAGACAATGAGGTGACATGAAAACATGACATAATGAGTAAATTTAAATTAAAAGATTAACCAATGCTATAATGGGTAAAATTTTCAAAATACAATATTCTAATAAAAAATAGTTTGAAAATACATTACTGTAATAAGAAAAACTGGAAGTACAATGCTATAATAAAAAAAATTGAAAATAGATTACTATTTTATGCATTTTACCCTAAAAACAATGCATTATATATTTTCATTTTTAACTCTGTACGTAGTTTCATTTTTAACCTTTATAATTTCAATAATTTGTTACTTTTAATCTTTTTTATWGTTCTCTATTACACCTTTTACTTTTCTAGTTTCTATTTTATACCCCAAGTAAATTTATTTATTAATAATGTATTAACTAAAATACATATTTTTAATATTCTAATCATAATTATATTTTTAAGGTTAGCACAAA